AATCCGTCCCTGTTTTCCCTGGTGGCCATTTTGGAACCGCCGATCAGCTGGGGAAAAACATCGTTATGCGAAATTTGGTAAGCGAAACAGCTTACCGATCATCGCAAAGCAATTTTCCCCCACAGAAAACATAATTATGCGATCGCAAAAGCGATCGCAAAAACATCGTTGCTATGAGGATTCATCGTTAAATGGGGCGCCCGTTATGCGAGGCACCACTGTATTATGATTGCACCGCCAAGGAAGCAGACATTATAAATTAAATTTCTTTTTCCCAAGCAACCCTCACAATATATCTTTTAATATGTATTGAACAGGCCACTGGTGCGTTGATTCCTGAAACAGGTGGCGATCAATCCCCACAGCAATTATATCTTCCAGATAGCTGGAATTTCTGCTGAAAAGAAATCAATCTAGTCCTTACCCTGGTGACATCAATCTCGGTTCAAATAAACACACAACTGCCCTTTTGTTAATCTACGTAGGCAAGTGAAACCTGCAAGGAAAGTTCCGGGTGCGAAAAGGGCCTCAAGGCAAGGCAGGGTTGAAGATGGAGATTGGTGCCCATTCTACCATCATCCTAAGCAGTATCTCAGATTGCCCTGCTCCTCAAAGGAGGACAAGAATGGAACCATCTCCTACTACAACTCAGGCATTGGAAAATTCTCAATATACGCTCTGAATTCTGTGATCTGTTGCCCTGGATCACTTCTTCAACTCATCATGTGAAGACAGAATTCTCTGCTTGGCTCAATCCCCGGCTGCCAAGAGGGAGAGTAGATATTTGTGGGCACAAAAGCTAGATGTGGCTGGAATTTTCCTCTTTGGCAGGAGTGAAGAACAAATTCATTTGGGTTGTTCAATTTTCAATGCCTCCAGCGCTGGAGAACTCACCACCTCCCGAGATCATGGGTTCCACTGTCATACTGTTCAAACAGTTAAGATGTTTTTCCTGCCTTTCCCTTTCCTTGTTGGCCCCCTTGTTTCCTGTGGCTGAAGCGACAAGAAGCCAGACGTAGGCTAAATGTCATGGAAAACTTATTAGCAGCTGGAGAAGTATGCCAACGGAACCCATTCCCTTGGGAGGTAGTGAGCGCTCCTGGAGACATTCAAGATAAAATTGGACTGCCATCTGTCAGATGTGCTTCAACTTGAGATCTGCTTTGACCTGTTGCTGGAGACATTCAAGATAAAATTGGACCGCCATCTGTCAGATGTGCTTCAACCTGAGATCTGCTTTGACCTGCGCATCTGCCTTGAGCAGGAGGCTGGACTCAATGGCCTTATCAGCCGCTTCCAACTCAATTATTCTATGAGTCTTTGATTCTAAATCACAGCAGAAGTACTGCACATTTCTCATCTCAAGAGGGAAGGTCCTAGAAGACAGGTTTGAACTGGTGTACATCACTATTTGAGCTGTTCACCACAGACCACTGAGTGCAGCATCTAAAAGACCCTATCAGTACCGCTGGGTGTCACATCATCCTATATTTAGACTTCAACATACATAGGAACTGGAGCATCTAACCCGCAGCTTTTTCTGCTCTGTGCTTTGCGCCTCGAGTCCTCCTCCGTTCTCTTTTCATGTCCTGTTCTTCTGGAACTGGAGCGCACCGTTGGCAAGGCGGGGGCCCTGCGTTCATCTCCTGGAACCTCCCGTTCAAAGGCTTGGTCGATTCAAAAGAGGGATCCGATCCGAAAAAAGAAAGGCCTCCCTCCTTAGTCTTATCAAAATATTCCACCCCCCTTCTGGATCAGAAGGATGGGTGGAGGATCCGACACATAAAAGGGGGTTCTGCTGAAAAGAGTGACCCCCCTCAATGATCACAAGACTGGAGAAAACGCTGTGTAACAAAAGACTGCAACCTCTGGGAGTCTTTCAAGCTCAGAGAAAGGACGAGCCACATGGCTGCTGTTCCGACCTGTGCCGAGGTCTAAATATAGAGCCGTATGACACGTGTGAGTGGCCAGGATTTGGAGCTGGGGAAACCCGACCTATGTGGGGTGAGGCAAGGAGGGACGCAAGGGTGGGGGCTGCCCCCAAGACATTTGCTGCCTGAGTCAAAGAATGAGTGTGAGGAGAGAACGAGGGTGTCCCCTTTTTTCGGTTCCATTGAGAAAAGCCGGCTACGCATAGCAGCCAAACCTGCCTTTCACATCGACAGTAGGGAGGCAGCCCTCCACCACACCCAAAAACGCACAGCAGCTTAGCTTCCGGGATGCTGATCCTTCTTCCTGCACCTTGCTGCCACCTCCTCAGTGCCTGCTGCCTGAAGCACACCGCCGTAGAGAAGAAACCAGTAAGCAATACTACTGGCACAAAAGTTAAAATTAAAGAAGCAAAGCAAAGCAGAACACCAAAGCTTGTATACTGGGCAATATTATTGACGTACTACATATTTCAATGACAAACCACCAGAGATTAGAACAGCTGCTTGTGTTTTCCTCAGAAGCCCAACATTTATGTGTTTTCCCCTTGTCTGACATACAGAGGACAAGAGGTGAATGATTGGGCACGATCCAGGCCGAAACACACTCCCCGCATCTCATTGATTCCAAAGGAAGAGTTAAACAAGTGTATTAAGTCGCTCCGGTTGTAATGTAGGGGGTCTTTCCGGGGCTCAGCGGTCTCCTCCTTTGACTCCGACACTGTGGTGGGCTTAGAAACCAAAGCCGCAACCCCACAGCCAGTTAAGCCGCAGAAACCCTAAAGGGACGGCTCAGGAAGCCCTCCATGCCTATGAGAAGGCTGAGCATTGTTTCCCCCTCGAAAGTCCTCTGATATTCACGACGCTACTCCAACCCAGCACTCGTCCCGTCTAGAGGCTCCCTTAAAAGACACGGACCGGTGGGAGTCAACAGCCAACTGGCTTCATTGGCTCTCGCTCATTTCTATGTTTGGTCAATTGAGAATCATCCAGGCGTTAGAGCACTGGGCTCACATCATGCGGCTGTGGTCTCCGTTGGAGGAGGTAACAAGGGCCTCACCTTGAGTGTAAAACGGTCCCCGGAAGAAGTGGCTGTGCTCTGTCAAGTGTGCATCGTGTTAACAAGAGTCCCTTACACAAGTAGTGGCAGTCTTCATTTTTCTAATTTGGAGCAAGATTTGAAACCAGCAGTCCCCGCTCACATATATTGGAACCGTCCTTCCTGCTTCCTTCATTTAGTTCTCT